ATTTTTTTGTAATTTTTTAAAATGATGATAGCGTTCCCTTATTTTTTTATTTAAAAAAAAGCTCTTTTCTTATTACTTGCTTTTTTAACTTTGGCCAAAAACCACTTGGTTTGTTTTTTACCCTTTTAAACTTGTTGCCATGAAAATATTTGCAGTGTGTTCACTAAGGTTTTTGAAAAACTCCCTTTTCTGTTTTTGGTTCATGATCCCAAATATTCCCTCCCAGTCTAAGTTTAAAGAGCGCTCTCAGCGTTGAAAAATTAGCTCTCAAAAATTTGAGATTTTTTTTTTTCCCCCATATTTTGCTTGCTTTTTACAGCTAACAAAAAATGAAATCATGTTAGGGTCACTGCTACCCAATTTCTTTTATAGGACATTTAAAAAAAGCCGTTTGGTTTACCATATCCAGCGAGCATTATTCCTAGTTGGGGCCTCTAGAACGTACTATAAATTTGTTGTTGTATAGGTTTAAAACATTTTGCCCTTTAATTTGTTCCTGCAGTACCATTCCCCGTAAATTTTCCCGGGTAGTTAAAACCCCCCTTTTATACTGTCCCAGCCCTTTCACCCCTTTTGATCTGTGCAAGGAGGATCTCCCCCTCCTCATTAACTTGGGAGGCCCTTAACAAACCCAATGATTCCCTTTGTAGTAAGCCCCCAGTGCAGTTCCACCATAATGCTTCGCCTCATCACACTTTCATAACTGGGCCCTCTTCCCCCTGTTGAGATCACTTTCAATACGACAAACACCACCACCTTTCCTTTTTTCCCCGTCTCTTGAAAGAAACATACCAGGAATTTTAAATGGCCCAGTCATGTAAAGAATAAACCCAAAGTTCAGAAATCCCAAATTAAAATCATAGTTTTTCATGCCCCAAAGTGTCTGACCTTTTTATTTTGTTGGCAACTTCGGGCTTTGGGAACAAACATTTTAAATGTTGCCCCCTGTGACACATATTTTGCTATCTTTTATTTTATACAAATAAAACCTTTTCCCCCCCTCTTTCCCCCTTTCCACCCCCCAATAATAGGCCACTGTCTGATTGTTCCCTCGTTAAAATTTTTTTTTCCCTCCCCCTCCCCTAGTTTAAATATAACCCAACCCTTTCCCCCATAAACCACTCCCCAGCACAGCAGCCCCCTTCCATTTAGGTGAAAACTATCTCTAGCATTAGGTTGCCCCAATGAAAAGTCAGCACGGCTCTAGAAACCCAAAAAATCCTTTCCCTCTTACACCCGGTCTTTGCCAGCATTGAGTTTCTAATCTCCCCCTGTCTTTTCCCGAGTTGACATACACAGGTAATATTTCAAGGGGTTCACCCTTTGGGGGTCCTTCCCTTCTCTTACAGCCTAGTTCTTTTTAAAATTTTTCTTAAGGGGCCTCCACCTTCCCTGTTTTGTCATTTGGGTTTCCCAAATGGACCAAGATGCTGGGGAATGCCCAGCCCCCTCCCCGTAATTTTTCAACCCGGTCCACCCCTGCCAAAACCCCCGGGACGGGAGACGCAAACCCTTCGGTTGAGACGATCCTGGAGACAAAATTTTTTCTTTAGTCTTTGATTATAGAATCCCCCACTACCAAGCTGTCTGTCTTCCGCACTACCTCACCCCCTCCGATGGTCTGCCCCCCCGTTTTGGGTATAGCTTTTAATCCAGGATGCAACCCCTGAGCTTCCCCCCCCCCAAAAATTTTCCCCCCCAAATTGGCAAATTGTTTAAAGCAAAAAACCCCAGGGTCGGTTTCCCTTTCTGTGAGCCTGTTTTCACTCCCTTCGTTCAGTAACCCTCTTCCTCCTGAAAACCTTATTAGCCCCCCCACCCCCCACATAAAACCCATTGTCCCTGTTAAGAGAAAAAAACCCCTTTCCAAATGGAAAAAATCCACCCTGTGCGCGGTTCCATCCTGGAGCTGCTGCCCATTTTTGAAAAATGCAGCACACTACGCACTGCAAAAAAACCTCCCCCCGATAGCACTCTTATCCCTTAAATAAAAATAGTTAATAAAAATACAGTTGTACTTAAGGTTGCGACTCCTTGTATAATTTCTTTTTCCACTCCGATTTTTTAAATCCATTTATCAAATATCCATTAGTCAAAAGTCCAAGGAAAAAAACAGGAAAAGCTAAGAATGAGCAAGCCGAATGGCTCTCGCAATTTATAAGTAACTGTATCACCCGTAACAAATTAAACCCCCCCTAAAACCCCCGGTCACATCGGGTGCGATTTTGCACAATTTGCATGCCTTGCAAATGAAAATCGTAAACCAAGTCACACCCATTTTCTCCCATTTTAATGGGTTTTCAGTGCGGCTCTGACTTGGTTGGGCCGCACCAATTTTAAAGTAAGCATCACTCTTTTTTGCGATTTGCAAGACCCCCCTTTTTGTCAAGCCTTTGCAAATCGCAATGAAAAACGGCATGTACCCGATTTTGAAATTGTGAAAATTTCCGTAAGTCACACAAATTTTAAAATCGGCTTTTAGTGACCGGGGTTTTTAATTTTCAACTGAAGGAAGGCAAGGGAAAGAAAAAAAAAATTTATTAAAAAGTGACATAAAAAAGTGAAATTTTAAAAAAGTAAAAACTTTTAGAAAGCCCCAAAAAAGAAATAAAACAATTATAAGCACCCGCAGTCAAAAGTAAAAATTTTTTACTTCCACTCAAAATTTCCCCCTCCCTTTTTTGCTATAGTCAGCAAAAAAAGCCAGACAGACACTGGGTCCCAAACACAACCCTGTCCATGGAAGAGCTGGAGCCAATCACAATTATATTTTGTTTAACGTTTTTTTTTGATAAGCCCTACCCCGTGCACCCTCTTTTTTTTTTTCTTTTCATTCAGTGACTTTGGATACCCGGTCCGTTTAGGGCCCAAGGAGTACTATTCATGAACATTTATATTGTATCCTCCCTTGCTTAGTCTTTCCCCAGCAAGGAGTAAAGATTTGCTGTGTTTGATTTGCCATTAAAACACCAGAAGGCAGGTCCACCACGGGTCCCTGTGTTTTTGACGTAAGAGCAGGTTAAATCTAAGCACATCAAAGACTTTAAAGGGGTTTTCTGGTGAACCGGTGAACATTTTGCTGGATGTAACATTTCATTTGACCGTTTTGGTGGGTGTAGTTATGGCCTGGGGAGGATCTCATTAGGAGCATGCCTCTTTTTTGTCAGAATGCAAAAAGCATGTGGGGGGTATAAAAATTTGAGATCATGGTCAGTTGTGCAATGAAAATTTCAGAAAATGGCTAGCCTGCCATAATTTTTTTTACTTTGATTTTCGGGGGGTCTTTGAATTTGGTCCTTTTATAGGGTTTTCATTTTGATTTCCTCAAAGATGGGGGCACCTAATGTTCTAACACATTACCCAGTCCATATCATAAGATAAAGCATGATATTTTTTCCCCATGGATCTGTGTGTTTTCAAAAATGTTTCCCTTTTAAATTTTTTTGAGCAGTGTATTATTCTAGTTTGTAACGCTATAAAATTTTTCACAAACCCCTTAATATACATGTATTGGGTTTTTTTTTTTTACCAAAGACATGTAGCAGAATACATTTTGACCTAAATAAAAAAAAAAAAAAGAAAAAAAAAAAAAAAAAAAAAAAAAAAAAAAAAAAAAAAAAAAAAAAAAAACAAAAAAAAAAAAAAAAAAAAAAAAAAAAAATAAAAAAATCAAAAAAAAAAAAAAAAAAAAAAATATCCAAAAAAGAATGTGTTCACACTGGTGCCCCACATAAATGTAAAACTCACCATCATTACATGAACACCTATCTCTAGGTAAGTCACACTCGCTTTTGGAACAATCCCAGTATGCAATCCGGTCCTGATGGCTGATATTCCTTTGCCCTTTTAACCGTGGTTGCTGGTAGTAACCAATAACTTTCCACTAAGACTTCATCAATATTAGGAAACTCCTCTCCTCCACAGGCAGTATTTTATATTTTCAGCGTAAGTTAAAACACAACCAGACATCCCATAGTGTAAAACTGTATAAAACTTTTGATATGGGGGTCAAAAAATAGAATGCCACTCACAAAAAAAGTGTCTTTCCTGCACTAGGTGTATTCAGCTTTGTATATTATGAATGGAAAACTAAGATGGCCGCCACGTTCCAGCCTGCATTCCAAATATCGGAAGTGACATCAGCGGAAGTTGCGTCATAAGCTCTCAACGTGTTTTGACCAATAGATCGTCTTCGGGAAGTACGAGTGTGACTTACCTAGAGATAGTCATGAAATGACGGTGAGTTTACATCTATGTGGGGCCACCAGTGTGGACACAGTGAAGCACTTGTCATTGCAGCATGGAGTATCACCGTTAAAGATACAGCACCATTGCACCAATTATTCACATGTTGGGACTGAATATTAACATTGTATTTGAATTTTGCTCATAGTTATCACTTTAACCACAAGCCTACAGAGCACTTATACCCCATTCCTGCCCAGGCCAATTTCCAGCCTTCAGCGCTGTTGCACTTTGAATGACAATTGTGCGGTCATGCAAACACTGTACCCATATGACATTTTTTATAATTTTTTGTGACAGATAGAGCTTTATTTTGGTGGTATTTTAATCACCTCTGGGTTTTTATTTTTTCTTAAACAAACCAAAACCACTGAAAATTTTGAAAAAAAAGTTTTCTTAGTTTTTGTTAATAAATGTTGTAAATAAGTTGATTTTTTCTCCTTCACTGATGTGCGCTAATGAAGCTGTAGTGATGGGCACTGATAGGCTGCACTGATGGACACTGATATGTGGCACTGATGAGGAGGCACTGGTAGGTGGCACTGATGGGCATTTGACAGGCATCACTGATGGGCACTGAAAGGCAGCACTGATATATGGCACTGATAGGTGGCACTGATAGCAGCACTGACTGGCACTCGTTAGGTGGCACTGACTGGCACTGATAGTCAGCACTGATGCGCACTGATAGGCAGCACTGGCCGGCACTGATAAGCGCACTGACTGGCACTGATAGGTGGCACGGATTGACAGCACTGATAGGTGGCACTGATTGGCATTGATAGGTGGCACTGACTGGCACTGATGGGTGACACTGAAAGGCAGCTCAAATGGGCAATGATATGTGGTATTGATGTGCACTGGTAGGCACTGATATGTGGCATTGATGTGGCACTGATGGGCACTGGCACGTGGCACTGCTGGGGCTACACTGATCGTCAGGGCACACTGATCATCAGTGCTCTGATGATCAGTGTACATGTCCCTCCGCGAAATGTCGATTACGGCTCTCCTCTCCTCTCAAGCTGTTAGCGTGGACAGCTCGGCATTTCCCTGTTTACATGTGATCAGCTTGATTGGACACAGCTGATCACATGACTGAGCAGACATCTTCGGCTCTTTCTGTGGATTGGTGATTCCGCTGTGTCCGAGGGACACAGCGCACCGCAGATCGCCGCGCTGCGTGCTCAGAATGGGAGGACGTCATATGATGTCCTCCCAGAACGAGAGAACCACCTTGCGTCCCTCATATTACTATTTTGGCGGGGGGAGTTTTTTTAAAACACTTGTTTGGTGAAAATTATACAAACATTATAATGAAATAAAAAATGTCTTTTTTGTCAAGATTAAGTTTTTCCCCCAGTGCATTAACTTAGTATTGGGGTTTAGTCCTTTTAAGTTAAAAACACTTTTAAAATTTGAAGCATATTGACAAAGGCTTGCACGTTTTCAGGGTACTTGCCCTTTTCATTGGGCAAAAAGGCTTTTAGTCACATTCTTGGGGTTGCGCACTGAAAATGCCTTTTTTTAAAAGTCCCAACCAGAGGTTTTTGGATTTAAGGGTTGGGGGACTGCGAGGCCCACTCCAAAATGTTAGTTTCCTTGAAACTTGCTTAGTGGCTTGGAGGTTTGTTGGGTTCTTGCCCTGGAAAGGGCCCAACGTCTCCCAAGCCTGGTGTTTACGGCTCTCCTTTCTCCTTTTCTCCTGGACTGAAGGAATTATGGACCTTGACACGCTGAAGTTTCCCTGTACCTGCGAAGAAAACACCCCAAAAGCATGTTTGCCCCCCTGTTTCAAAGAGGGCAAGGTGTTTTTTCAAAAAGGCCCTTCCTCCCCAAACTTTAGCGGAAGGGAAAAGTTTATTTTTTTTTATCAGCCCAGAACATAAAAAAATTTTGGGGTTTGTCCCATGGCTTTGGCTATGCATGAATTTCTTTTTTCTTTTGGAAACAGCAAGGGGGTACCGGGGGCCCTGGCCGGAGGTTCCCAAACCAAATTGCTCTTTTTGTCGGGGGCTGAAATTTTTCCCAATCTAAAAAATCTTTTTCATTCCTGAGTCACCGGGGTTTTCTCTCATTACCCTTCTTGCGACACAGTAAAGCCCCAATTTCTTCGGGAGCAGGTGTTTTTCAAAATCCCCTTTTTCCTTGAATTGCAAATCTCCTAAGGGGGTGTTCTTGGTATTTTAACATCTTTCAATCTTTTATAGATTGTTTTCTTGAAAGAAATCCCTCTTCTCTTGTCCCCCCTGGACCATTCCTTGCCTTCACCTTTTTGAACCCACAGTAAATGGTCTAGAAAAACAGTAAAAATATTTTAAAGCGGGGTAATTTGGTGCTTTTATTATCTTTTATTTCCTAAAATTTCCCCCAGGTGTTTTTTTTATATGGAAGACTGTTGAACCTTGTTTTCAGTGTAATTTTTAAGGGGTTTGAATAATTTTAAATAAGAAACCAATAAGAAATTTATACTGTATTCCCATAAAAATTGATGTCATTTTAGTTGCATTGGGTAGTTACAACGTCCTTGTAGGTTTTATTTTGAAATACATTCCAAATGTACAATGTCCCAAACCCCCTTTAACCCATTGGGGGGGTTAAAATTTTGGAAAAACAACTGTATTTTTAAAAAATGATAAAAAAATATGAAATAGTAACTACTGAATAAATACAGTAAAAAAATGTGCAGAAAATCAGTGAAAAAAATGCAGATAAATGTCTTCGTTTTCCCTCCAAATGCTTTTATTACTTGTGCAAACCAGGTGGATAATACCCATAAATGGCTAGATTCCCTCCTCCCTCCTTACTGCGACCCCCAAAGGGGCCCTAAAACATTTTAAACGCAGACAACCCCAACCCCATGCGGCATCACATAAACCCGGGCTCAATGGCCCCACTTAACCTTATGATGTTTTCCTTCCCCTGGCTCTCCCTTCAAGCTGTTCACCGCAGTAAAAACTCTGGGTACATATCATTATACCGGGCCATAGAAAAAAAAGCAGAAGAGACCCCCATATTGTAACTCTTTTATTAGGAAAAATGCCAAAAAAAAATCCCCCCAAAGGGCCCACTACTTTTGTAGATTCACATCGCGTTTTCCCATAGCTTGGGTGTACTGTAGGGCACGGGCTGTAGTAAGTGGGTCAACGGAAGTGGGTCACACGCTCTACGCGTTACGTATGATTCCCTAGGATAGCCCATTGGTGCCCTGTTCTTCTATTTAGGAAAGTTGATGTCAATCAGCCAGTGGGGGGGACATACAGTCTCTCTTGTGGTCTCACTAGCTTTACCGCGGCTTTTTCCAAATTTACTGAGCCCCCACCCTTTAAAGAAATATAAACCCACTCTAATATCAAAAACCCATCCCAAACCCTAAGCGATTTTAAATACGAATCCCCTCAAATCTGCAGGCTAACAGGGGGATAAAAATAGATACCCTTGTGACAGAATTAGCATTTATTTTATGAGATTTTGGGCCTATTAGACCTAGATTTATTCTCTGCTTTTAACAAATGCTTTTCCAAGTAAAAAAAGGTTGCTTTGCTTGTTTACATTTAAAGCCCCTGAAGTGAAAAAAATTCATTGTTTTGGTTTTCTTATACCATAGAGAGATCGGGGGCCCCTGTTCAGTGTACGGTTGGGGCCCCCCAGTGTAGGGGAAGAGCTTGGAAAGGAACCGGAGGGCAAAAGGAATTGGAACCCTTTTTGCCCCTGTAAAAGTAATCCGCAGAAATTTAGCTGCTGGGATTGTTTTCGGGGAAAAGGGCATTGCTGGCCTAAAAAATGATATGGATGATGCCGCAGCTGGGGCATCGCGGGTAAAAAACCATTTCAAACGTGTGACTTCGGGCCATTGTGGGGGGTGAAGTGGTTAAAAAAAATTCTTGGATTTGTTGGGGAAAGGACTGAAATTTTTTTGGAGAAAAAAAAAGGTTTTTGCCCTGAAAATTTTGGTATTTTCCACAGTCCAGTAAAATATGCTGTTTTCATTGTATTACGTTGGAATTTAGCTTTTTGGTGTAGATTTTTTCAAGTTACTTCCCCCAATTTTTAATTTAAAGTTGTACAGAAGGTTTTTCCTTCACGGGTTTTTCATCATCACATAAAACACAAAAAAACAAACATAAAAGCAATTTTTTCGCCCCCACTTTTTCCCCCCCCACTTAGAAGTACTGCACGGGCAAGGGGGGAGATTTACTAAAATGGTGCCCAATTGGTGAAAAGTTCCCAATCAGCTTCTCAATGTTTGTTAAAATTAAATTAATTGGCGGTTGGTTTTATGCAGCCCTGCAAATTTTTTCTTTTCCCCCAAATTTTTAGAAAATAATTTTCCCCAAAATTCCCTCCTAGCTATTGATTTCCCAGCTTGGCTGTGCGGTTCCCTGTTGTTCAACAGGCCTTCATTTGTAAAAAAAGGTCACCATTTCCCAGCAAAAATTTGGGATCATCAAATGCCTGACGTTATGCTGATTCTCTTTGGTGGGTAACACCACCTTGAAATCGTCTCACACCTGCTCAGGCCCCTTTTATGCGGCCCAGTCATTAACCCATTTTAAAGAAAAGTGACATAATTTTTTTTATAGGAACAGTGCTTGTTTGCAAAAAGGGTTAGGGGCAGAATTGACGTTTTGGAGCCCCTGTTTAAAAGTACCACAATGGTGGGAGGCTCAAGGGTTTATGATGATATTAAGAAAACAAATTTTTGTTTTAGAATCTTAATAATCCTGCTGGGGGGCCCTGGAGTCCGGATGCCTTGTAGAGCTTTGGGGGGTGGAAAATAAGTCTTTATGTATATGCATTCATAAAAAATGTTTCTTGCAGCCTTGGTAATCAGCGTCCCCTCTCTCTTGCCTTTCTGCTCTAAAACCTTTTGTGTGTGAACGACTGTGTGCAAAATACTTTTTTTTATTTGAGAATCCATCGGGGGGAATTTAATTAGTAGGCTGATGGGTTTAAATTTTTTCGGCAAACGTTTTTGTTTTATATCAAATTTCAGTTCAAAGCCTCCTGCATTTGAAAATGTTTTGCGTTTTGAAATTTTAAAAACAGGGGAAAACTACTTGGGGTAGGAATTTTTCCAAGAGGGGCGGTGCCCTTCCTTGGGGAACCGAAAATATTTCCCCATTAAAGTTATTTTATAGGTTTTTTTGTCTTTGAGGGGGGCGGGCACGGGGGCCCCCGACCCACCCCCCCAGGTTTTTATCATGTCAAAGAAAAACTGCCCCCCTGCCATTTTTAGCCATAAATCAAGTTTTTTAGGAAAAGTTAGGGGGTGTTATTTCCCTTGGTTTCCTTAACGGGCCGAAAATAGTATTGGTGAAAAAAAATGTTTTTTTATCTACAAAGGCAATATATACTACAAACGGAGCAAAAAAAAGCATTAATAAAGGGACCTTTCCATTAGCAAATTCTAAATATAGGGTCCCCAAAAAATAACAGACTTGGGAAAAAACCTACTGTGTTAGGTGTCGAAGCTGGCCCTGTGACACGTTTTTTTTTTCGATTAGGGCCCGGTTCCTTTAAAATGAAAAGATTTCCCCCATCCCACAAAGGTGGTAGAGGAATCCTTCCCCCCAAGGGAAAAGTTTTCGACAGTGGACCCCTTTGCTGTCAGAATTGATCAAAACCCAAGTTTTCCCAAAATTACCCTTCAAATATGGTTATTAAAAAATAGAGTTCTGTCAAACATTAAATAATTGGCCAAATTAGGGTGGGTCCGCGAAACCCGGGAAATTTTTATTTTTCGTAGGAAACTTTAAAAGGTAAGTTCACCTTTATAACATTTCATTTAACCCTTTAGGGGAAAAGAAAAGAGAAATAGAAAAGGGGGGAATTTGAAGGGGGGGAAATTTTTTGGGCGAAAAGTTTAAAAAAGGAGGGTCTGCCTGGGGGGGAAATTATAACGTTTTTGGAAGAGAAATAAAGGCCCAAGGGATTAGAGTTTGCGGAAAAAGGGAATTTTTGGAGGGGATAGGAGGGGAGATAACGGGAGGAGTTTGGGGAAGAGAAATAAAAAGGGAGGAGACTGAGAAAAAGGATCGGGGGTTTTTGGAAGGAACCTTTGAAAAAATAAAAAAAGAAAATGAAAAAATGAAAAAAATTTGCATTTAATATGAGAAAGGTGAAACTCTCCCT